TGGCCATGGCAGGAATATATTTAGTGTGTTTACATGGACATGAGCATACCATGTTTTTGAAGTTTTTGAAATATTCCGTTTCTGTGTTTGCACGTGGAAACATCATATCTTGATTTTAAAAACCTGGCTAAGTTCTCATCTTGAATTTGAGGAACCCCAGTATGCTATGAAAGAAGCCACAATGCTGCAACTGTAGTATTAAAGTGAAGTAAGAGATGCTGACCTCTTCAAATCTGTAGTTAACAAATTACAAGACAATGGTTTCCCAACATGAAGCTACAGTGGAATATGTCAGATCATGCTGAAAATCCTGAAGAAAAATGATTATGTGGTCAAACATCACAACGATAAAGTTCAAATTCCTCAAAATACTGAATGAAATGCTTGGTCACCATCCACTTTCATTTCACATTGCTTAGCAGTCATTAACATCAGTGTGTTGCATGCTGATGCATTACCAACATTTTTCCTAATTATCATAGCCTTATAAGATGACACAACTAACTGAAGATTTAGGCTAGTAGTCATCAGTAACCAGGATACTAGTTCTTATCATATGCATATGCATGCCAGACTTCTCTGTGTTCTGTGAACTTCCAGGCACTTACTGTAACAAGTGCCATACCAAATTCAAAATGTGGACATGAAGCATAACTAGGTCTCCACCGGCCAAACTCCAGAGGAGCCTGAATCATCCGCATCACACTGAGGTCAGAGAAGGACACAGTGTCACATTATGGAGTCACTGGCATGCAAAGTCTCCCAGTGCAGCTTTAAATGCACTGTAACTGTAGGAGTGTGTTTGCATGTGGAGGATGTTATTGTCTGTTTGTATCTATGTATCCACGAGGCCGAGCTGGAACCATTACAACCATCTGCCAGCATCCATTATAGTGAAACATGATGATGTGTATGACACAACTGGAGAGGAAGGAAGCTGAAGAAAGTAGGGTTGTAGGTCATTAATCACTGGTCGCTGACACATGAACGCACGCATATATATATATATTCCTATACACAGACAAAGTTCTGAGGCTTGGGGCTGAGCTTTCAGCTGGAGCAAACCCAACTGATCATTAAAGGAATATATACAGTGTGTGTGTACATATACATACACACAGAATGAGCTCATGGCTGGGATACATGCCTCAGATTTTGTTGGACTCCCCCCTTCGAGTTCCCACACTCCTCTTTTATTCCAGAGCTGCATACTTGTACCCAAAGCCAACAGGACTCAGCTGACTTATTAGTAATTCAGCATTGGTGTTTTTTATCAGCTACTCTGGTTTCACTTGTGTTTCAGATCACTACATGCTACCAAAAGCTTGGCTTTGATTTTAGTAAAAATTTCTCAAAACCAGAGTTGAGTAGAAATGGCTAGCTCTACTACCAAGTGACTTCTGCATCTGACAACACTCTCTCTGATGTGTAGGTCTTCAAAATGTCTGAACTGAAATACAGAAGAACTTTCTCTAGTTCTTGGTCTAAAATCTAAACATAACAAAATTCTTTTGTCAGCCTCAAAAGATCTGAAGTGCAAAGGCTTTTATGAGTCCAATCCCTGTCACATTTTGAGTATTTTAAGTATTGGGTGTTGCACACATTTCAAAGCACAAGAGCACAGGTCAAAAACTGAAGGTGATAGCTTTTACAATCAAGAATTGATTTCAGTTACTGTGACAACTGTGTTAATGCTATGTGTTTACTTTACACTAAGTAAACCAAACTCTACCAACTGCTGTTGACAACAGCAGAATCAAGAAATGACCTGGAGATAATTTCAGTCAAAATGCAAAACAATCATTATTAATAAATGGCAGTGAGCCTCTCCAGTCTGCACGTAGCAGGAATCGGGAGTCTTATCCACAGGCTAATGAGCACTGAGCCAGCTGTCTGACTCTGGTACATTCTGCATTCAGGCTGTAGTACGACACGCACAGGAAGTGTTGAGGCCAGTGAGCCGGTATGTGTAGAAGCAAGTCAGGTTGCATATACAGGTTTGCATATTGAACCGTTTCAGCTGTGACTCAGCTGTAATTGTCTCAGTCTGTCATTTACTGCACCACTTAAGCAAGTTAAACTTTGTCACACAGCATTTATGTCAGTGTGTATCACTATTTACGGTTGTATGCTTATTTGACTGGTGGGTAACATATAAAGAAGACAAGAGAAGGCTAGTGCGTTTGTCATGTCAGACTTTGGAGTGTGAACATTTATGTCCTATTTCCTGGAGGCAGTATGTACCGATGTTGATACGTTACCTGACATGCTGTGTTGTCATGCTTATGTTGAGATAGCAAAGGTGTGGCAAACTGTTTGCAGCTGAGTAACATTATTGTTTGGAGTCATTTTTGCCC